CATCGGACAGGGCAAGATATGACAAAATAACAATTTATAAATTATCAAGGGCTCATGAGGGAGAGGGGAGCAGGGAGGGAGAAGAAAAATGAGGACCTATAGCCATGAGCTTAAGTGGAGAGGAAATGTTTTGAGAATGATAAAGGCAATGAATGTAAAAATGCGCTTTACACAATTGATGTGTGTATGGATTGTGATAAGAGTTGTATGAGCCCCTAATAAAATGATTTTAAAAAACCAAAAACAAATAAAAGTTACATACATGGGAAAAAAAAGTGCTTAACTATTTGAGGCTCTTGAAATCCCATCAAGTATAAGAGGAGCTTATGAGTTTCAGAGAATAATGAAGACTCAGAATACATATACATGTATGTGTGCATAGATGGAGAGCGATGTGAAGTTTACTTACAATGAAAAAGGGAGGGACTTCTTGATCAACTATAGATGTTATATTAATTTCACCCATTTTTTCATTAACAATAAAGACTCCATAAGGTGGTTGATCAAAAAAAAAAAAAAGAAGCAGTTGAAAACACCTTGGTTTGGGTCCGGTGCACCTTAGCCCTCAAGGTAACATACTTGCTCTTCACCACTTCAAAGAGGTCTTGTGCAGCAGCGTATTTTCCCAGTACCGTAACACCCAAACCCAAACTCACGGCATCAAGTCGATGATGATTCATAGCAAGCTGATAGGACAGGAGACAACTGCCTTGTGACTTTCAGAGACTGCAACTCTAATAGGAGTTGAAAACCCCATCTTTCTCAGACTGGCTGATGGTTTTGAACTGCTGACTTTATAGATTGTGGACCCAAGGTGAAATCCTTCACAACTTCAAACTTTTCTCCTTTTATTATGATGTTACCTATTGGTTCAATGATGAGAATTTTTATTTTCTTTATATTGAGTTGTAGTCTATAACGCAAGCTACTGTCCTTGACCTTCCGCAACAAGTGCTTCATGTCCTCCTCACTTTCAGCAAGCAAGGTTGTGTCATCTGCATGTGGCAGGTGATTAGTAAACCTTCCTTTAAACCTGATGCCGCGTTCTTCTTCATATAATTCAGCTTCTCAGATGATTTGCTCAACATACAGATAGAATAATACTATCCTGATGCACACCTGCACATCATGCACACCATAATTTTAAACCATGCAGGATTCACTTGTTCTGTTTGAATGATTGCCCCTTGTTCCATCTACAGGTTCCATAGGAGCACAACGATGTGTTCTGGAATTCCCATTCTTCTCAGTGTTACCCAGAGTTTGCTGTGATCCACACAGCCACACCCTTATACACTGTCAATAAAATACGAGGAAACATCTTTCCAGTAGTCTCTGCTTCCATAAAGACTCATCATCCGCCATGGCACCCCTTGTTTTACTCACTCTTCTGCAACTGGCTTGACTTTTGTGTTAGTCTGGGTAGACTAGAGAAACAAATCCATGGGCACACATAAGTGCATAAGAAAGAGATTTATATACAAGAGCAATTGAACATTGAGAAAACATCCCAGCCCAGTCCAGATCAAGTCCATAAGTCCGATATTAGTCCATATCTCTGATACCAATCTATAAAGTCCTCTTTAGAATCACGAAACACATGCAATGATGCAGAATGTAGAATATCATAGCATAGGCCAGTGGGTAGAAAGTCCGTGGAGCCAGTGACATTGGAAACACGTCAGCGCTGGCAGGGCTCTCTGCAGCAGTGTAGGTTCATGTGTCTTGTCACCTGCTATGTCTCCCAAGGTGTGAGCAGAGTCTCTCACCTCCAAGGAGAAAAATACCGGACTTCCCAGAATTCTCGGGAGAAGGCCATGCCCACACAGAGGCCCCATTGGCCATGATCTGATTGACAGGCTAGACCCCACCTCTACATTCTTAACCCTCAAATTGTCAAATGATTATATAACGACCACAAATTTCTGTCAGCTCCTTGTCCATGTACTGCTGCAGCTGTTGTATCATCTTCAGCAAATGTTTCTTATATGTGATATTAAGGATATTGCTGGATACTTTCTGAATTGTTGGACTGCCTTTCTTTGGAATCGGGCAAAAAGTTAAACCATTCCCAGTTAGCTGGCCAGGTATCTGGCTTTCAATTTTCTTGGCATAGATGAGATTCTGCTTCCAGTGCTTCATCATCTCGACATTTCAGTTGGTACCCCGTCCATTCCTAGACCTTTGCTTTTGGCTGGTGCCTTCCGCGCAGCCTGGCTTTTTTCCTTCAGTCCTATTGATTCCTGTTCATATGCTCCCTTCTAAAATGCTGGAATGCTGGCCACTCCTTTTTGATACAATGACTGTGTTTCTTTTTCTTTTTAGCATCCATGGATGACGTTTATTTACAAACATGACCAGTGTGCTATATTAATTCAACAGAGCTTGATCCATTTTCCAGTGGTCAGACTTCTTAAAATGCTCTTCTCATCTGTTTTTCAGATGAGCTTAAGCATCCCTATATCTTTTTTTTTAAGCATCCCTATATCTTGAGCAGTTGGCGTCGTACTATAAAGAAAGGCGAAGCCAATCCAGACCCAAAGAACCTAGCCATCATAATCAGTAACCAACTTTTGTTTTCCATAGAATATAGCAAATTCTTCCCAGGGCCCTCCTCATAGGGGCTCCTTGAGACCATAGAGGTAGGAAACTCAGATGCTCTGCCCCAGCATGGTGCTGTTGGAGGCTCTGCGAAACTCACAAGAGACCAAGCACGGAAACATTTTTCCTTCTTCCTTTGCTGCTCCCTGCACAGTTCAGTCGGTTATCTGTAGACTGTTTCAATTCTACAACTCAAGGCTTGGATTCTCCTTCCAATCTTTCAGCTCGAGATGTGTGATTGTTCTTTTTTTTCATTTCCCGACTCTAGGTCTCTACACATTTTATTGTAATACTTTGTCTTCTCAGGCTTCTCTTTGAAATGTTCTACTCAGCTTTTATTTCATGATTTCTTCAGTGTGCTTTAGCTCCTCTACAATCAAAATCCGTTTTCAGAGTCTCTTTTGACATCCACTTACTTCCTGCTTTTTGATGCCCTGTGCTTGCTTCACATATTATGTTCTTAACAACACTCCACAGCGTGTCAGGTGTTCTCTCATTTGTGTTTAGGGCAGTGGTTCTCAACCTGCCTCATGCTGCGACCCTTTAGTCCAGTTCCTCATGTTGTGGTGACCCCAACCATAAAATTATTTTCACTACTACTTCATAACTGTAATTTTGCTACTGTAATGAATCGGGTGACCCCAGTGAAAGGGTCGTTCAACCCCCAAAGGGGTCTTGACCCACAGGTTAAGAACCGCTGGTTTAGGGGGTTAGCTCTATTGTTGTGAGGGTCTCTAAATTTAGGTGCAATGCACTCATGGTCATATTATGGCTCTGTGGACTTGTGTGCATCTTCTTCAACTTCAACTTGAATTGATAGTCAGCCCCTGGCCTTGTTTTGGCTGCTGATATTGAACTTCGTCATCGGCCTTTGCCACAGATCGGGCCTATTCGTTTCTGTGTGTTCTAAGTGATGAAGTCCTCTTCTGCTGTCTCAGTCTATGTTGTTGAACAAAAAGGTTTTGCAACGAGAAAGTTGTGGGTCTTGTAGCATTCTATCACCAAGGCCATATTTCCCAAATTCTGTTCCCACCTCTTTGTTTCCAACTTCCCCATTCCAATCACCAACAATTATAAGTGCATCCCGGTCACATGCTGGATCAATTTCAGACTGAAGAAATTGGTAGAATTCTTCAGTTTCTACCTCACTAGTGATAGTGGTTGGTGTGTAACTTTGGATAAGACTTGTGGTAATTGGATTTCCTCGCAGGCATATAGATAGTATCCTATCACAACATTAATACTTCGAGACATATCTTGACATACTCTGTTTGACGATGGTTGTGAGGCTGTTCCTCCGGAGTTTGTCATTCCCAGCGGAGGAAACCACATCACTGTTCTGTCCATTTCAGCTCTCTAGTGGCAAGAGTATCAGTACCGGTTTCATTTCATTTTTGACAATTCCTTCTTTTCCTAGATTCATACTTTTCGCATTCTGCATAGATGCTTGTTGCTGTTTCTTCTGATTTTGAGTTGCGCCCAACAACAAACGTTGTGCTGAGAGCTTTACTCCATCCACATAATAAGGACTGACTCCACTTTGAGAAGGCAACTCTTCCTCAGTCCTTCCCGGCATTATGTCCAACAGTGATCTGCTGCTAATCCTGAGGCTTTCAGTAGCTACTTACTCTAAAGTGGACAGCCTTGATAAGAGCCAACTCCTTATACATATTGAATTCTACATCGGGACCTTGAAGGGGGGAGCGTAAAGCATATTGTCACAGAGGTAACATATTCATAGCAAATGTATTAGGCAGTATCTTCACAATCAGGAAACTCGGGTTCACTTAGGCGACCCTGCTGGTCTTTAAAATCCTGGTGATGCCTTTTCCCTTCAAGAGAGCCTGGAAACAAGATGGATCACCAGCAGCTCTCCTGGAGCCACCCATGAAAATTTGGCCAGGGTTTTCGTTCTTGCCACGTGTGCTCAAACCGACACAGTCTGATCCGGAAATACGGCCTCACTATGTGCCATCAGTGTTTCCGTCAGGACGCGAAGGGTACCGGCTTCATCCAGCTGGACAAAGTGATCTCTGGATGGACAATCCAAGACCACTACCCAACAGAAGAAACAATGCCAACTATTTGTACATAAAATAAAAAAATTTAAGTCTGAAAAAAAATTCCTGGTGACATAGCTTACAGGATCGTGGCAACATTCACTCACCCACAGTATGAAAAACTGACAGACAAGTGGTGGATCGGGAGGCATGATAAGAGCCAACTCCTTATACATATTGAATTCTACACCGGGACCTTGAAGGGGGGAGCGTAAAGCACATTGTCACAGAGGTAACATATTCGTAACAAATGTATTAGGCAGTATTGTATAGAGTGGGAGCGTTCATCTGTTTCCTGCAAAGGTAATAATCCCAGTTTAAATTCCAATGAATGGCTGTGAAGGAACCACACCGAAGCATGAGAAGGTGAGTTAAATACAGCCCTCACTGTCTGACTCTAGACAGCCGGATGCGCTTTATTGAGCCGGATGCCTCTTCAGGAAATTTGGGCTCGCCCATCGGCAGCCAGCCAGACCCGACTTTACTCTGTGCCAATCTCTTAGGAATCTACCTAAAGTCCCCTGTGCACCTGAGAGGAGTCTATTGTTAGTCCCTTAACCAGTGGCTATCAAGTTGAATCCGACTCCAGTGACCCCGTATGTGCCAGAGTAGAACTGTGCTCCACAGAACTTCAGTGACAGATTCTTCAAAAGTGGATTGCCAGCCCTGTCTGCTGACGTGCCTCTGGATGGACTGGAGCCTCCAGCCTCTATGTTAGTGGCCCGGCATCTTCAGCATTCGCATCATCTAGCAGCTCTCTCATTCTCAGCTCCGGTGTAACACCTTCCCGACAGCAACTCTACGTCCTTGTTTTAGCTGATCCCCCCATTCATTTCCAACCAATGATTTAGTCTTTGCTGGTTTCAAGACATTTCCATTTATTCGTTCAACAAATACTTGATTATTTTCTTGGAACTGAATTAGGTGTAAAAATGAACATAGACTTGTCTTCCCTGGGGAAAATGATTGCAAAGGGGGTTATGGGCAGGGTCTCCTGGGAAGTGCTGGGGTGGGTATACTCGGTGCATCAGGGGACCCCTCACTAGAATCCCTGACCTGACCTGGGGGTGCTCGGGGAAGGCAGGCATTGCTGGATAAGATGACTTCTTGGCGGTGAAGGAGTTAGCAGGCTGGAGAAGGAGACTGGAATCAGGTCTGAGGGCAGGGAGATAAATGGGGAAGACCTTGTAAACAATGACGATGCTGGGACAGAAAGCCAAACCCACCCCAGAATGGACTCCAGCCTTTGGTTCTGAACAGGATCACACACCCTGTCCCACCAGGGTGTTTCTTACTGAGCCTCCCTGTGTTCTGCGGATTGGCCCCACCTCTGACTCCTGTCTTCAGTCAGAGGCAGCTGCTGCAGCTCCAGGTACCAAATTTGCACATGCCACTCTCAAAGAAGGCCCACACCTGCCAGCTCTAAAATGTCCTTGCAAGACGAAAGAAACCTCACTGTCCTCCAAAAATTGCTTGCTTTGTCTGTGCATATCATTTTCGAGGACATCCACCAGCTTCAGACAAGCCTGTGTTCAATTGGGTGGCATCCTCAAAACCTACTGCTCCAGCCCCCCGGATATGTGGCGAGATGCCTCTGAATGTGCTGTCTGGATCCGATGCGGAAAGATAATGATTTGCCTTTCTCATAAGGAAAAGCTAATTACTAGAAGGAATCCCAGCATAATTACACAGTTAGGCTTAGTGTCTTTGTACACAAGGCTTCCTGACAAAGACGTCCCAGTTAGCCTGTAGCCATGTGGAGGAGGAGGGGAAGATCATTTCTGATTCTCTTGGCTTTCCCACTCTGTTGTCTGAGCCTGATGGATGGCTCCTTGAAGTCAGGTGTCTGTGATGGGAAAGGATATTGCACCAAGTTCACGGCCATCAAGTCGGTGCAGACTCTTAGTGACCCTGTAGGGCAGGGCAGGCCTGGCCCTGTGCGTTCTGAGACTGTAACTCTTCACAGGAGTAGAAAGTCTCATCCTTCTCTCTTGAAAGAAGCTGGTGGTTTCAACCTGCTGACCTCGAGGTTAGCAGCCCAACACATAACCACTATGTCAGCCAGGTGTCTTGTGTCTGTTACTCCACACAGAAGCCTTGTCAGCCAGTGCCAATGAGCCAGGTATGCAGGCAAGCCATGTCACATGCATCAAGGTCTGGACCTGCTCCAGTTGGAGTAGGAATTTGGACCTAAGTCTCTCTGGCTGGAAAGCTGGCTCCTTGCTTTCCACAGGCTCACCGTGTTTTGCTTGATTGGCTGCAGGCCTGATACAGGCAGAGCCAGCAGTGTGCCCGGTAGAGGACTTGAACTTAACTTCTCGGCGGCACTAGATCTAGTGAGGTGGGATGGGGTGCAGAGCTGGGTCAAGTAAGGGGAAACATTTCCAACATGGGTGAGCGTTTACTATGTGCTCAGCATGACTGGCACCGGGCATTGCTGGTAAGGAGGGTTGAACTCAGGGCAGGATGGGACTGGCGTGTGAGGAAGCAGTGGGAGAAAGAGGAGAATTAATTCCCTAGTGGAGTGCATCATGGTCCCCTTAGCCTTCTTGTCCCAGCTTAGAGACGAGTTGCTCTGGCAGGGAAGGTAACCTCCACAGGAGACGGCCATTGGCTTGGTTTTCTTCACACGGTGAAATAAACCAGGAGGCCACATGAGCCGATTCAGGTTTGGGAAAAAGAGCAAAGGCTCAAGCTAAGGCCAAATGCACATGATTGTTTGACTTGACTAAGGTGGTACGTGAGGGGTTTTTGTTAACCTAGCAGTTACTGTTGACCATGAACGTGGAGGGTCACTGATTCCTCATGGCGAAGGGAAAGAGATAATTGAAAGTTTGTGTCCTCTTTTGACACCTTCTGGGTCAATCTTTAAAATACATTGACGTATTTATAGCACTGTTTGGAGACATCCATCAATGATCTTACATGTTCATACCCTTTGACCTAATAATTCCACTTGGGAAATCTTTCACAAGGAAATAGGTGTGCAAACAGGATGCTCGCCACAGCATTGTTTATAATAGGGGAAAACTGGGAACAACCTAAAGGCCCAACAGCAGGGGATTCATTATACAAACTGTATTACACCCTCACAATGGGATTTTATACAGGAATGGAGAGGATGTTTATGAAGACGTTAAAAAACCACAGGGAATGCGCACGTCATAATATTAAGGTGCAATCACAGGATACAAAGTTTGACATTCAGTCAGAATTAGGAAAACACACAGTATCACAGAGCAACAGGGATTCCCTGAGTGGCACAAAAGGTTGGTGGTTCAAACCCACCTACAGGCATCTCAGAAGACAGATCTGACAGTATGTTTCTGAAAGCTCATAGCCCTGAGACTCCCACGGAGCAGGTCTTCTACTCGGCACACATGGGGGTCACTGTAAGCTAGAATCAATGCAACAGCAAGTGACGCACACAAACCACATCTTTGGCTAATTGGAATGACGGGATTTTAAAAAAGAAATTTCCTTTTCTAATTGAAAAAAATCTTTTTTTTAATGAATGTGTTTTTAAAGTCAACACACAAAACAATGGCAACAGAAAACAACAACAAAATTTTAATGCAAAGACCAGATGATACTTGTCTTTTTCAGGCCCTTGGGGACGGTGACTGGGCCTCTGGCTTAGAAGAAGGCGGTGCCCAGCTATAGGAGCTGGCTTAGGAAACAGTCACCAGGTAAGGAAGTCCCTGTGATGGGTGAGGCGGGAGTGGGAGGAATGCCGCCTTTGCCATTGACAAGCTGGACTTAGTCCTATCTTTCTTCCAAGGTCATCCACCATATAGCCAGGAGGACTACAATAGACTGCAAGTCACAGGGCATGTTTCTGGCACTAGCCTTTCCTCCAAGGCTCTGATTGAGGCACCCGTATAGTATCTAAATATCTGCTAGGGCCTGCCGTCTCCAGTAGTGACAGTAAAGAAGATTGTGAGTCTGTTTGTGATGGTTTATTCTCTGTGTCCACTTGGCTAGGCTATGACTTGGGCAAATATTAGGCTACTCACTGGTTATAATGAAATGAAGTCACTTTGCATAATGGAGCACAGTGTCATGAATCAATCAGTTAAAACAGGAGTTTCCTTGGGGTATGACCTACTTTCACTGTATAAATAGATATTTTGGCAGAACGCATGCTCTCCCTCCACTCTCTACTATTCCTGTTGCCTCACCTATGGCTCCTGGGTTTCACACCGGCAAAGGTTCCCAGCTTCTCATCCGCTCTCTGGGCTTTGGACTTGCCAGCCCCAATTCTGAGATCATCCTTTGAATGCTTGCTGCAAGTCAAAAGAGCTGGAAGTGCTTATTTCCGTGAGTTAGATCTACTCACAAAGAAAACAAAGCTCCTCCCAACTGGACCCATAAGCACCCTCATGCTGGACGGTGTTGCTACTTCTCTATAGTTGGCAAGGGTTTCCTTTCACTTGGGACCACCATCGATGCCCATGGAAGCAGCGGGGAGGAAATGGAATTAGGTATCCCACTGGGCATGGTTGAAGCCGGAGACCTCTTTACAGTGTTCAAAAGCAAAACGATCACTTTGAAGACTAAGATGTGCCAGATTCAAGCCCTGTGGAAGCTAGACAAGGAAGCTCAAAGAA